ACAAGGCCCATATGCTCCCCAGTAAGGAGCATAACACAATGCTCTGCTAGCGGTTCCTAGTTGGGAGCCACAGACGTGGTCACCCAAATAGACAACTGCTTGCAGAAGAGCCCTCGCACAGGCACGTCAGGAGGCATCTCTACGAAGTGACGAACGACGTCCAGAGGCTCATCAGACAACCTCTGGACCCGGCAGCATATCAACAGGCCTTGAACGGCATTCGCAGAGAGGCAGTCTTGAGTTATATAGACTCTCGACTGTGAATGCCATTCTGTGCACACAACCACCAGACGTCGACGAGACAGAGCTTCGTCTGCCTCGGGAGACTCGGACCACAATAGCCCAACTGCGCTCTGATTAGTGCAGCAGATTGAATTCATACCTGAGCAGAATAAATGAAGGTATGCTAAACGAATGCCCGGCATGCGGAGAGACGCCCCATGACTCAAACCATCTCTTCGCATGCCCACTGAACCCCACCCTACTGACGGCCCAGTCCCTATGAACAGACCCCATCGAGGCTGCACGCTTCCTGGGGCTACCGCTAGTAGAGCTTGACGGCAAAGAGTAAGGGACTTACCGGTCTGGGCGGGGTTGTTGTAGCCGCTACAAAACAACAACAACAACGATCCCACCAAGAATATGGGTAGCGGCGGCAGCTCGCCTGACCTAACAATAGCTGGCGCGAGCCTACCTGCGCCAGGTCGATCCCGGGGATCCCAAAATCAGTGAGCGGAAGAAGTGTGATGAACATCTGAAGACTTGCAACTTGGCTTCTGTTATGAGCAAGCTTTGGTCGCTCCTGAGGACAGGAAATATCATCCAGCGATGGCGGCACATCGGTGCCTAATAGATACAAGAGTTATTTTAGCCGAAAGCATTTTTCGGTGGACAGATCAGAATGCTGCACAAATTGTCAAAACTCAGTGCGTATGTATTGAAACCGGGGAGAGAGGTCCCATTGCTTCAGTTAGGAAAGCTTGCTACAAAACCGAAGTCTTATGAGCATGACCTCCACAAACTGCAAATCGCTATCACCTTCGTAT